ACAAAAAAGTAGCTCTAATTAAAAAGCGATACGCCTTTTTCGAAAGTCACCGAAACAAAAAGGAAACCAGACACAAAAACCAGAAAAAATTATATATATTTATTTATTTGACAGACGCCCGTTGAAAATTTTCATGGCATATAAATCAACTAAAAAGAGTTTACACAATACAAATATTGGTAGTATATATAGAGTTTTATTGTTGAGCTCTTTTTATTACGGCTTGGCTATATAGCCTTCGCTGCAATTTGCTGTTGGTGTTGTACGCGCTGTACTTTGTTGAATTTCTGTATTGAAAAGCAGCTTAAATACCAGCGATCGAGCTCGGGCGATCGTAAGATCGAAAGGCCTTAGGAAAACATTCGCCAAAATCTGTTCAAGTGACAAGTGCTCAAGCTGTTGTCATAACTGCTTCGATATCAGCTGAAAGATATACCCATTGTCAATGTTGTTGCTATCAAGCGGCTTTGTTTGGGTGATTTTTTTTTTTAGTATTTCTTTCTTTCTTTCATTTGTGTTTTTTTTTTTTGGGAGCGCAACATTCTCACGGTGGATGGATGGCCAAGGCGAAGAGATGACAAGTCACAACCACAGAAACCAATTGAGTGTGTGGCAGCAGAGTCTGTCAAGGGCTTTTGTCATCCCTCCATCCGTCCATCCATCCATCGATCGGGCGATTCATTGATTCATAGATCCATCGATCGGCTCAGAGTGTGATGATGATGATCGCTCAATTTGCGCAATGACGTGAAGATTGTCGGATTGTCGTGTGTTTTACGGGTAATCGATCTTCTAGGCGTGTCTCCCTCGAGAGGATGGAGAGCTCTCTTTTTCTGAAGATGATATACTTTGTGGCCCTTTCGGCTACCGGTTGCAGTAACTACCGATCTCCCAATGGATCACGTTCTCTACTCCACTCTCACACACACACACACACACACACACACACGCACACACACAGTTTTGTGGATCCCAGGAGGGGGGGCAGATTGTAAATTTTATTGCCTACTCTTCAGCGTCCCGCCGCCCTTCGCATCGTCTGTCGCCTGTCGTCTGTCTCTTTTTATAGTTCTATCTTTGCCTTTTGTTTTTCCACCTTTATATGGCTGCCCGACAGTGTTATTTACGACATTTCGAGCCAAAAGTTGCAAGGTGCAAGTTTTAAATTGTGGAATTTTTATGAGGGCCAGTCAAAGGGAGTGCTTATATAACACTGACTGCGAGTGCGACTGCGAGTGCGAGTACGAGTATTCATAGCAAATAATAATCATAAAAAAAGGCAGGAAAAAAAGAAACAGAACTAGCCACAGTCCCACAGATAACTGGGGGACTTTACGACCCGCAGAGATCTGGCAAATTCATCGCTCCCTATCGGTTCGGGAAATCTTTGATACATACGTACTCGAACTCGTACATCTCTGGATCTCTGGGATCCGAACCGCAGCTGCAAGGGGTCTGGGCGAGAATAATGTGTGAATTTTTGGACATTGGCACAGATAAGTGCTTTAAAAACTGCCTTCATTTCAACTCAATCTGTGCCCTAGTAAAGCATTTGCCTTTACTTCCGACTGTGTCACACTTCGCATAACTTTCAACGAATTCTAAGCTTCAACTTTCTGCAACCGAGAAACCCATTTGAAATTCATGGGCAGATAGATTTATGCATCTCACACCCAAAAACACTCACGTGAGTCAACCGCAGGAGACACGAGAGACACTCACGAGTAAATTACAGTCAAATGACATGCTCGCCAAAAATGCCACTTCAAATGGGTGTCGCCTCCCTCCACGAGTACGGGGATATGTGTGTCTGTTTGTCCGTCCCGCTGCCGCTGCCTCTGCCGCTGTCGCTGTCTGACATCTGACATATTTTCAAAAGTGGGCATAGACATGACAACAAGAATTGCATATGTATCTACAACAATGGCAACAACCAGAACCACCAGAAGACGGGGCTAGTACTTTTTGGTCCCAGTCAAGTCAATGTCTGGCCTTGCCACACAGCCTCTCTGGATCTGCCACAACCTCTGCATCTGCATCTGTGAGTGTGTCTGTGTCTGTGCCTGTGTCTGTGTGTTATAACGGGCGTTGGGAAAACAAATTGCTAAAAACACCCCGAATGCAGCCCCTCACCCCGCGTGGCAAGGCTGCGGCGGCTCCTGGTTGTGTTTTTCGGGCGCGCAATGTGAAAAGTTAAACGAAAGTGACAGGCTGTGGCAGGGCTCTCCCTGTGGCCAGGGCCAGAGGCTGGCGCAGAGGCAGAGGCAGGGGCAGGGGCATTTTCAGTCAACGCGCAGGCTCGTTGAGGGGACGGAGGAGAGTAGGGGATGGGAGTTGGGAGTAGGGACCCCTAGGGGAGTGAGGCAAAGTGGCAGCCTACTGCTGCCATTAAACGTGTCACACGCAGCAGCACAGTTGAAAAGTTAAATGGCAGCGGTTGTGGCAGTGGCTGTGGCAGTGGCAAGGGACCGTAGACCGTGGACCGGGGGCCGGGGGGCAGGCGCGCGCACACCAAAGAAATGAGCAGCCCATCGGCCATGTTAGGATGTAGTTATAGCTGACACACACGCACACATGTATCTCACAGATACACACATGTTGCGCCACTGATGATGGCGTCCATATTGCACATTTCTGTCACATTTCAATGGAATTTCAACCTCAACCTCAACCGAGCCCAACCTCCCTTCAGTCCAGCCCAGAGGGCCCTGTCGCAGATACATTTGTATCTGATAGTTTTCGGCCGGACTGTCATAAATTATTCTCATAGATATCTATTACGACGAGTACGAGTACCGCTCCGGAGCGGCTTCTGGGTTTTCACCTTTCGGCCGCTTTCGGTTCGGGGTATTGTTTTATTAATTGCTTTAGTCGCAGCTTTCGGGGCCCTTTGATCTGCTGTGCCGCCTTTGGGCCTAGTCACGGCCGCAAGTTTCTGTTTAAATATGTATGTATTTATTTGTTTAAATTTATACTCGGTATTTATTCCCTGTCAATGGCAGTTTTCCGTTTGTGGTTGCCGGCAAAAAAAAGACACATTCGTCAGCCAGGTTAACATCAGATCGGCTTCCGTTAAAAGTTAAACGACAATTGTTTTGCCAACAGCAATTTACCGCTTAAATCATAAAAAGCGGCAAGTAAGGGAAAGCTAGCCAAAGGAGTCGAAGCGGCGGATACCCTTGCAAATGCATGTTGCACGATTCTTGAGAAGACGGGCAGCCGTAATACAGAGGAATTATATTGAATTATAATCTCAATTGATTTGATCTCAGTCCAGAACATACATATTCGGAAATTCTTCCCTTTGTTCCCTCTGTTCCCTTCCGTCGCTGCAAATATCTGGTCCAGAAGCGTAATGCCCTCTTCTAGGGTATGTTAAAAAAATAAAATGAAACCATTTTGTTGTGATTAATGGAAAAACAATTTGTGGCCGTTGCCGTCGCGGTTTATTTGGCTTTTCTTTCTCATTCCCCTCACTTTTTTATTAATGACTGAAAATACATACATACATGTAAAACGCTGGCCATTAATTAAATGCTTCAAGTATTGCATTCAAATTTATACAGAAAAAAAAGATGCGCTCCGAAATTGCTCATCAAAATCAACAATAACCAGATCAAGTAATTGAAATGTTTTTTGCATCATCAAGTGGCGGATAATGAGAGAGAATTATCATTGAAGTTTAAATGGGAAATTTTCTCGCAATGGCAGCTTACTAGGTGGACAGACTAATGGGAAATTAATTATGTGTAGTGATGGATAGTTGAGTTTTTGGGAAATTTCTGGGGCAAGTACAACATATGGGAGCTGTGAGAACTCTGCAGAGATGGGAATATCGTGTAACCTATGAATCTTCTTTTCTACAATTATTTCTATCGTTCCAATCCTTGATACCAAGCATTGAGCCCCCCATTAAGCCAACATCCCCGACATCTTTGAAATAATAATTTGGCATACCCATTAAATACATATATTATATTTTATTTGATATTCTTCCAGTTGAATTATACATATTGGGGATAATACACTCCTAATTGAAGCTCTCCATAAATAAGTGACTGCAATTTGATGCAGATTTTGCAGCTGTTAAAATAATTGTCGAAATCGACACTTGCCATCGCTGTCTCGAGGCAGCACTAAAAAATCAATTAAGAAATCCCTCCGTCTATATGGATTTTGGTTGAGTTTCGGTTTTCGGTTTTGGATTGGGTTTTTGGTTTCGGTTCGGTGTCTTTTGGTACTTTATGAAACGCAATAAAATTTGTTTGAAACACTCATTTAAAACGGCGTAACATGCAGGCGAGATCGTGAATATTCATAAGATCGATCGCGCAGATGGGTCTATAAATTTCACATTTTGGGGGTAGACCTGGGCCTGGGGACTTGAAGCAGTTGCCGTCGCACCAGCAACAATACACGGACAACAACAATTAGCATAACATTTTTAAATTTATGGTTCAATTCTGGAAAAAGAGCAAAACAACACCAAAATACAAATACGTACAAAACAACAACAAAAACCAAGAAAAAAACACACAAAAAAAGCGAAAGAAACTCGTCTGTGATAAGATTTCCGATGCGATGCTGTTATTGGCCTGGTCTTTTGTGGCTATTGAGATTTTTTAAATATACATAAGTTAAATGCTGCAGCCGAGAAATAAAACAGAAGCCGCCGGGACATTTGCCAGATTTATTGAACGATTTCATTTGAAGGCACAACAAAAGAAGAAACAGTCCGACGGGGCGCTACGGTTTCGCATAGAGAGTGTATCAGAGATCGTACTACGGAATCCGATTCGATTCCATTCCATCCCATCCGATCCCGTCCGATCCGATCCGATCCGGTTCTGTGCGTGGTGCGGTGTCTGATCAAAAAGCCGTGACAATTTGCATAGAACAGATGAAGATCGATATGCATTGTACTCGTAGTATGTAGTATGGCTAGAAGCTCTAACTAATAATCGAATAACACCATTTTTTCCGGCTCTCTTCTTTTTCAGACTGAGCTGCGTTCCTGCGCAGCGTGTGGCGAACCAATCTCGGATCGATTCTTTCTCGAGGTTGGCGGCTGCTCGTGGCACGCCCATTGCCTGAGATGCTGCATGTGCATGTGCCCCTTGGACCGCCAGCAGTCGTGCTTCATCCGGGAAAGGCAGGTCTACTGCAAGGCCGACTACAGCAAGTGAGTTTACCATCTACTACGAGTATGTGGATGCCACATCTGTTCCTCAATGAACTTTCCCTGCTTTTTTTTGGTATGCGAGGGTTTTGTTTTGGGAAATTCCAATTGATTTGCCATCTCGTATTGTGAGTGTGTGTGTGTGCACAAGTGTTTTCCAAATAGTTTTCCCACACATCTTTTTCAGAGTTCCAAAGATAATTGTAACAATTCGACAACGTTTGCGACTTAATCCATAAAGTCAACAACGACAAAGATGCAGCAGCAGCAGCCAAAATGAAAACTTTTCCAGCAGTATGCAACTTGCAAGCAAAAGTATCTTACGGATACATCCATACACAGAAAGATACAGCCAGAGAAAGATAGGAATGGGAGGCACAGAAAGAGAGTCGTAGGAAAACGGTGTCGACGTCGAACCAAATGAAAATAAACAAACAGACGCGCCGTGAGATGCTGTAAAAATATTTATTTTTCAAGTTAAGAATTTTAAGTGTGCATTGCCCGATGGAGACATCATCCAACAGGGCTCCAGCTCCAGCTCCATCTCCAGCTCCAAACCCAACTCAAAGCCAGGTCCAGGTCCACAAACTCACGTCCGAGTCATGCTCCATACACATACCCCATACATTGTTGGGGGCTGTTGTAAAAATAAGCTTAAAGGCTAACAATAAGCTACCAAAAGTTGCCAACTCATTTGGAAAAACGCTGGAGAGAGCGAGAGCGAGAGAGTGAGAGCAGAGGCAGACCCGACCACTACTTCCGCTTGGAAAATCAATCCAATATTCCAAGGAATACTCGTACGATGTACATACATATGTATATAGGCTATGGGCTATAGCAAAACTGATTACAATATCCGCTCTCGCGTTTTTTTAATTGCAGAAATTTTGGCGCCAAATGCTCGAAATGCTGTCGCGGCATCTCCGCCTCGGACTGGGTGAGACGTGCCAGGGATTTGGTCTTTCATCTGGCCTGCTTTGCCTGCGATCAGTGCGGACGCCAGTTGTCCACCGGGGAACAGTTTGCCCTCATGGATGACCGGGTGCTTTGCAAGGCTCATTATCTGGAAACGGTCGAGGGTGGCACCACCTCAAGTGACGGTAAGCGAATTGAAAATCAGAAACAAAATGAAACCAGACCAAACCAAACCAAACAGAACTCTTAAAGAGCATAAAACATCAACGAAAAAAACAAGACGAAAACATGATGCACGCTTCAGTGGCCGAATCGGTTGCCAATTTGGAACGCTTCACTGTTTGAAATACAGTGAAAACAGAGAAACAGAGGAAGAACTTAGCGCCAGTCGGTCGCCAGACCAGTAGCAAGACCAAGACCAAAACCAAGACCAAGACCAGACCTGGACCGACCTTCTTCCCTGATGAAATCGTGTCACACTCGTAAAACACAAACTCTTCATCTCAGGTCTCAGGTCTCAGGTCAGGTCTGACTCTGGCTCTGGCGCTGAGGCGACGTGATCGGCTTGAGAATGTCGTTCCCCCCTCCCCCACTCAATACTCTCTTCACGGAGAGACCACCAAGATGGTCCGTCTGTAAAGTACTATAAACTATAAACACTTTTTGACATTTTCAATTTGGTTGGATGTCAAAATGCTTTTAGACCCTAAGTCCAGTGGCAATAAGTCGTTTGCCCTACGATACCCATTTATGATTCTGTTTCTGAGTCTGATTCTGATTCTTATTCGAATTCTCATTTTTTCTTTACTCTTTTTCTTGTAGAAGGCTGTGACGGTGATGGCTATCACAAGAGTAAAACGAAACGTGTGCGCACCACCTTCACCGAGGAGCAATTGCAAGTGCTGCAGGCCAACTTCCAGATTGACAGTAATCCGGATGGCCAGGATTTGGAGCGCATTGCATCGGTGACCGGTCTGAGCAAGCGTGTGACGCAAGTGTGGTTCCAGAATTCGCGTGCGCGTCAGAAAAAACACATACATGCTGGTAAGAATAAAAGTAAGTAGTGGATTAGTGCAGCATGCTCTCCCCCTAGACCCCCAACCCACACCCCTCCAAGTGACCAAAGTAGTACTAGAAACCACCATCCTGTATCCTGTATCCTGTCCTGTATCCCGTACAGTAGCACACATATCTAAGAGAGACAGACACTTGAAGTACAGACAAAATACACACATCCAAGAAAAGAGTATAAGATGCTAACACCAGTATTCACAATTTCTTCTGTTTTTTTTTCTCCTTTCAACAAACGATTTTTGATTGCAGTACGCGAACCGGAAGGAAGCTCATTTGCGCGTCATATTAACCTGCAGTTAACGTATTCATTTCAGAATAACGCACAGAATCCAATGCATATGAACGGCTCTAAAGCGGGTCTATACCCGACGCACGGTAAGGCAGTAGTGGCAGTAGTTAACGATCTGAACTGGTTTCGATCATTTCCTTACCTTCCTTAAACTATTCGACACGTAAGAAGCCTTCCTAATCTTCCTAATATTTCTTTGTAGAATCCTCCATGGATGAGATGTCGCAGGACTCGAGTGTGCATTGCATGCCCAGCGAGGTGTGACTAGAGCAGTCCTCGCCAGCACGAGCCCATCGCTAGCGGGGGCACTCCTCCTCGAAGTATCTAAAGCATACACACCCCCTCAAAGCACACCATCAAAAACGAATGAAAACACTAAACGTCCTTTCCTAGTCAAAATTATATGTGAAGCTTGCATATGAAATGAAAAGATCCCAGCTAAACAAAAAACACGATACCATAGCGCATTCCCAGTTAGGCTTTGAGCATCCATTCAGCATCGAACCAGCAATCTCATGAGAACCCACACAACAAACCAACAAACCAACAAACAAACAAGCAAACAAACAGAAAGACAAACAAACAAACAAACAAGCATTCCTGCATTGTAGTGTAAGAAGCTGCAGTTTAGTTAATTTAATTTAAATGAAATTTAAATTTAATTTAGTTTAATATTCGATAGTCGCTAAGTGTTTCGCCCCTCGTAAATGGATCTACATATAATATTTTTTTTTTAGATTGTAAGATTGATATCCTGCTTGCCAAGGCTCCTGTAAAATATATTTTTTTTTGTATGCCTATCCTATCAATATCGTATACCTACCATGAGAAACGTTGTTATTGTTTATTTTCTTGTTTTTTAAATGTATAAAAATCGATATAAATATATATAGATGTATCCTTTGTCGTAGCTGTCCAGGCATTTGTAAATAGTAATGATAGCCGCAATGGATACGAAATGAAAAGAAAAGAAAACTAAAACAAAAATATTAACATTTAGTTAACACAAATTATAAAGAAATACAATTAATGATGAACCGAAATCAATTAAAAAGAAAGAATAGAAAGCAAAAAGCATTTTTTTAAAGAAACCATGATGTGATTTTTATATATGAAACTGGGATTGGTTGGCGGTCAAGCACAAACATAATTAAAAGATCGGTTGCATTCTGGGGAATGTTTCAGATAGAACATCTTTCACTTTCCCTAACTCTTTCCATAGAAATCGCCTGCTAATGCCTTAATTTCTATCACTCCCATCAGAAGTATCATTTGCTAATGCTAATGCCGACCGATCTCTTTGGGCAACACTCGAAATCGATTTCCGGTGCAGCTCCATCATCAACCTGTACCCGTACCTGTACCTGTGCCCATTCACCGATGGATCAACTAAAGCATCTGCAGCAGACAGTGTGACGACGATCTTGGCCGTCATCCCATCTCCCATCTGCAGCACTTCGGACGATCGGACACTCATGTTGCCAGTCATGTGGTTGGATTCTAGTGTTGCACTTCAAGTTTGGGCGTTAAGTGCACAGAGAGGGACGAGTGCGAGTATTAATTGAATTATAAGCCTAGATTATGCAAAGATTTCCTGCCTGCACCATCAGCAGCAGCAGCAGCAGCTGTTCGGATAAAGCAATTTGTGTGGAAGATCATCATGATGATCATGCTTATTGGGATCGAAGAAGATTGAGAGATTCGAAAAGGGGCATTCGATTGAGAATGTGAGAGGGCGGGTGGTGGTGGCCATGACTTGGACATTTGGAGAGGACAACAACAGGCAGCAGGCAACAGGGTCTGGTCTGCAGGGGACTGCACTTGTTTGTAATTTCTGTTGTTGGTTTATAATTGTGCGATCGCATTGCAGACGGAGGAGGGCTTTCCACAGTACGTTACAAAAATATCAACAAATCGTCATCATTAATAATGATCACTCCGGGCTACAGACTTGAAAACACGGTTGCTATCAGTATTATACATATCGTATTCGTTTTTTTTCGGGTTCGGGTTCGGGCTCCGGCTTCTCGGCTCCTCGGTTCATTTGTCAAATTTCACCGCGCCCCCAAGAGATCTCCCGAGAGACCGATAGAAAGAGAGAGCGAGAGAGACAGAGAGCGAGATCTAAGATCTTGAGATCTGTTGCCTGGTTGCTGTATCTGATGTTGTTGTTTTCGTTGTTATTTGAGCAAACATTCAACACTTGAAGCGAGAGATTTTCGTGGCAAGCAACGTACAACAACTCAATTCCCAGTGGTGCCCCTGTTGCCTCTGTTGCCCTGCCCTGCCGTGCCCTCGATCTTGATCCCCATGATACGAGTACGAGATCCCATGCTCTTCTCTACGGCAATGAAATTATGAATGATGTGATACTTTTGCCATTGAGATGTTTTCACAGTCGCGAGCCTCATGACATGCCCCAGCCATATCTTATTTGCTATATCTACATCGCATTCAAGATTGGAAACTGGCAACTCGAGTTTTGGCCTGCCTGCTCCGCGGGCCTGCCTGTTCGGGCCCTCTCCTGGTACCTCGTCCGGTCGGCCTGTTGTGCTGTTGGTTCTGGTTGCTCTTGCTGTTGCTGTTGCTGGTGCTGCTGCCGTGTTTGTGTTATTTCTGCTGGAAATGAGCGATCGCGTGCAATAATTTGTAGACGACTTTGGTCTCGAGGCTGAAGCTGTTGCCTGTTGGTCTGTTGGTCTGTTGGCCTGTTGCTGTCGCTGGTGCTGTTCCTGCACATGCTGCACATCATTTTTCAAAATCATTCAAACACTTGTTAAATATTTTCTTAACCGATTGATGATGATTGTGACTCGCCTCGCAGAGTGAGAGATAGAGATAGAGAGAGAGACACAAGAGACAGAGTCCCCATCCTGCTACAAAATTATTTGTGTGTTTATCAATAGGCAGTGAAAAAGGTCTCAAGTTCCAGAACTTCGATCTCAGTCTCAGTGTCCATCAGAGGCATTGACTTATTACGATTTTGTTGGCCTTTTCACGTCCGCGCTTCACGCGCTGCCCTGGCCCGGCCTGGGCCGGCCTGGCATGGCCTGGCCCGCTGAAATTAATTGATATCTGTGGTATGCGCTTTGTTGGTCTCCGATCTTGGATCTTGGATCTTGGATATACATATGTATATCTTTGATGAACAGCGGCGGCGGCGGCGTCGGCCACTTTAAGCATTGATGATCGATTACAGAACGTGCCGGAGTTGGAGTCAAGAAACGGGGTCAAGTGTGAGGATTGCCTCTCGATGATTGGGTATGCAAATTTTTATACTCGTACCATATGCAACTGACAACACAACTCAACGCTCGTTTCATGCCGCATGCCGTATGCCGCATGCCCCCATGCAATAAGCTTAGTAATTTCTGGCTATTGGCCCATCATCGCCAGGTCCATCTCCATCTCAATCTCCATCTCCATCTGCATCTGCATCTGCATCATCAGCGTCGTCGTCATGGTCGTCATCGTCAGATCAGCCTTTGAGGAGGTCCCAAACAAAAGGTGGCCAGCCTTCTGCCAGGGCTTTCAACACTTTCTGAGGACCAACCTCAGCGCTGATGGGTCTCCGGGTCTGCTCCGGCTGTGTGCGTGCCGTGTGACTCATGCCGCTTGGCATTTTAATTGATTTTGGGGGGGCGCAAAAAGCTCGGTGCCAAAATCCTCACCACATGACTCGCGCTGGCACACGTTCTATTTCTGCCAGTCAGAGGCGTCTCACTCGAGGGGCACAGCACACAAGGCACAAGGCACACTCCATAAGGTAACCCAAAGTTATGCTCAGCCTGAGATACAGATACATTCTTGGGTAAGCGGAGCCCTCTCTGGGAAGGCCCCTGTCTCCTGCCTGTCAGGCACGTACACAGAGAGCCGTGCTACACCTAGGCAGGGGATCGGACATTTATCATGCTGCAGTGCCCCGCAGATTCCGATTCCCATTCCGACTGCCTGCCTGCGTAGGCGTTGGCCGGTGGTCAACTGTCCAGCTTCCTCACTCTCTTCATCAGCAGCAGCAGAAGCAGCAGCAGCAGCAGCAGCAGCAGCAGCGCTCTGTGTGCCATCATTGGGCGTTGGAGCACGTAAAAATGTAACACCAAGTGGGGGGCTGGGGGCTAGGGAAGAGGTATTCGAGGCATCGACAACTTACGCACATCAGTGCTGAGGGTTTTGTTAATTTATAGCCAAAAAGAGCTGACGGAGAATGGCCAGAAAAACGCTAAGCTGAGGCTGAGCTTTGGGAAGAATACGGTGATATACAAAGATCCTTTGGCAGATGGTCTTATACGATAACAATCTATGTTTCTTTTCTCATAGAAATCCGCCCAAGAGGGCTCTCCCTGTAGGTGCTATCTCCTTTCCTATAACAGCTTTATTTATTCAACTTTATCTTTCAACATTTTCGGTAACAGCACTGATACGCACACTGGGGCTTCTGTTCAATCCTCTGGGCCATGGCCATGGGCCAAGTCCAATTTCCATTGCAGAATCCCTTGCCCTTTGCCTCAGAGTTTGCTTAACAGTACGCGGCAGCGTCCAGGACACCCAGCTGTGGTCGCACAGGCCAACAAGCCAGGCGGTGGCTGCCACAACCGCTGATGCTGCTGCTTGTGCTTCTGCTGCTGCTGCAACACAAACAGCACAAGACAAGACCAACAGAAACAACATGGACATGGACGACAACGGCGACTCCTCCGACTACGAGTATGACGACAACTTTGGCAGTACACCTCAATGTTTGTGCAGGCAACATTCGCATGCAAGTCAGCAAAGTTTGCATTGACACGCAGCAGCAGCAGCAGCAGTGGATCCAGTGGAAGCAGTGGCAGTGGCAGACGCAGCAGCAGCATTTGCATAAAGGTGGAGGGGATCGGTGGACAGTGGGGGTCGGGGCGGGGCGGGGATTGTGGGCTGCTCTGCTGGTGTCATGGTGCCGAAAAAAAAACCAGACAAACGCCAAGTGCACAGCAGGGCAAACGAGGAAGCAGCAACCTGGAGACAGAAGCCAGGAGAGCAGAGCTCACCCGTTGTCCATGATGAAGATGGACGTGTTGCTGGTGGCTTCCCATCACCATCACCATCGCCAGGAGGGGCAACAGCAACAGCAACAGCAACAGCAGCAACAACAACATCCCCATTAGGCCGCACATAAACTGCATGCAATGAAATTCACTCCTGTGGCGTGGCCATGTTGCTACCGCGCTGCAGTTGCAGTTGCAGTTTCTTCTGGGGCGCTGCTGCTGCTGCTGCTGCTTCTGCTGCTTCTGCCGCTGACTGCCGCTGTCTGACTTATGGCAATTGCCAATGCAACATTTGTTGCCGGCGGGACGGGGACTGGTCTGTTTGCTGTTGTTTTGTGCCACTAAAGATGGGGGCGTGACCAGACTAGCAGAACCCTAAAGGCTTCAAAGAGTAAACGGAAGGGCTTAAGAGGGCCCTTCAGTCTGGAATGATTGGCGTATCTTTCATGTCAATGTTCCTACCTATAGCTTTCACTGCCTTAAATGTTGCTGTTGATTATGATTGATTTGAGATGGAAGCGTGGCAAAAGTCTAGTCTGGGCCAGTCCGAAAAACGCATAGAAATCACTTTCTTCGAGAGCATTTATGATTTCCTCCTCGTGTCACGCTGCAATCACCAACTGCTGCCACTGATGTTGCTGTTGTTTTGGCTTGTTGGATGGCAATTTTTTTATTTTACTTACTCATACCCCCCGCAAACATTTGTTTCAACACGTACGCGCAAATGAGTTTACAAGGTGC